ATTTATTAAACATTAATGAAAAAAGAACAGAGAGTGCTGGTGAAAAAAGAAACTGACAGTAAACAAAAATTGACCTTAAATACTGAAAGTACAGATTAAAATTAAGGTTTTATGTAAAGTAAATCTGTATCATTAGAACAACCAGATAAAGCCATGTTCTTTAAAACCACAGGTAAAGCATTATTTTTTCTCCCGGCCATAGTGTGAGGCTCTTTGTTACTTTTATTTCTTTCATGAAAATTGGTTACATGCAAAAAATAACATCTTACTAGAAGTACAAGTACATTGCATATTTCAATAATACTTTGCAGGTAAGTTATTACAGTTCATATTATGGAGACCAATAGCTGCAGCATAGTCAGAGAACCATGGCTCGGTGATTTTTAACAATGGTACATCACACTCTCTTGCATTTGTTATTGACTATAAATATGCCACAGGCAAGGTGCTCCTCTAGCAGTATGGATTAGGCTCCACTTGATGCACAGCAAATAGTCCATGCAAGATCACGGTCTTTCAGTTGCTCTTCCTGGAGCTCCTGAAGTGCTAATATTAGCACCTGTACACCATCAGAATCTCTTACTTAATTGCTTTCCATTGCTATGAAGAAAATGGCTATGATTAAAATCTATGCAATGTCCATGATCTGAAAATTCCATAAATGGACAAGGTCTCACTGTGCAGTGAGATAGTCCATACACATTTTTGTGTTATGGGCCTAAGCAATGAACTATGACAAAATCATAATCTTTCATCATTGTGATAATCTTTCCGGGATTTTTAGAGCTCATCTGTGGTGCTTAGTCTCAATTGTTTGACCCAACCTGTCATCTGGTTCTATGAATACACTAACATATTTAACCAAAAATCATTGAGTTGCTTCCATTGTGTTGGGTCTAGACTGTTCACACAGTCATCAATTGTCGACTTCAAATATGTAGTCACATACTTGCTTTTGGTTGTAGTGCAACAGATGCAACCCTAGCATTATGGCTAGCATTGGTTACTCCAATTTCCATTATTATGCTTAACTAAACTTTCTTCACACTAAACCACAGAATGCCACTTGTGTACGTGGAGGTACTGTTATTCCATCTTTTACATACAATCATGTAATCTAGTGTTCTTGGATCAAGAGATGTACTACTGAGACACCCAGAGACAATTATTTAGTTTATAAACACACCTAATTCAGAGCAGGAACCTAACATATATTAAAGTATTTGAGTTTTTGAGAGTACTTACAAAGCTGTACCTGGGATGTGAAGGGCATCTCAATAAGGTGATGGCTGGGAATTCATGAAGGAGAGCATCTGACCAAAATTAGTTCCCTATGAATAAATCCAAAACAAATCACTCCACTAACTCCCAATCGAATGATGAAGGAGTATTGGGGCTATTTTCTGGAGTGTTTCTGGCAGATAGCTACCAGAAATGGCTGGACTCTGAAACAGGCCATACAACACCTGGTTCTGAGTTTAGATGGTCTGGCCCAAGACTCCATTGAGCACTTGAATAAGAAGCAACTGTGGGACTGTGAGACAGTCATAACTGCATTGCAACAGAGGTTCAGCAACCCAGTGCAAAGCAGAACAATACATGAGGTCAAAATCAAAACCCAGAAGGGAGGGAGATACCATAGAAAGCTTGTATCCCTTATGCAGATGAACTGTGCCATTTGTTAGATAAGATATACCTTGCAGTGTCCTCAGAAGACCATGAGAATATTCTCATTGACAAATATGTAGAAGACATGAAACAATGAGGTATCACCTTCGTGTGAGATACCACTTTCTAACCCCAGCTGAGGCAGTTTCCGTCATGATGCAGTATGGAGTGTACTAACTTGGAACCAGATGCAAAGAGGAATGATCTTGTAGCAGCAGATTCAGTGAATTCAACTCTGACAAACCATCTTACCAAGGTCCTCAAGATGCATGAGATTCAACCCCAGCTGATGGTAAACCATTCACATGCCTGTCATTTTGAAGCAACTACACTTGTATCCAGTGAATGGGCAGAGGTGTCCCAGCCCTCCCATAGCTTATATGCTAGAACCTATGCCACTAATGCCTCTCCCAGGATATTATCCTGGAAAGTAAAGTAAAGCATATGCTTTACATCAAGAATGTTTTCTCACTTTTGAGTGAATTGACTGTGCCTTACTAAAGCAGCAATATATATAGGGTGATCAGTTTTGGACAGACAGTGCAACAGATGTGGGAGAGAAATAGCAGATAATGAATACTGCTTTTTGTAATTTGGGGAAGTAGAGGAGCCTAAGTCAGGAAATAGCCACTAAGTGGGGAGACTTTGTTCAATGAGTCTTGATATATGAGTACAAAGGTGAGAGATAGTGAATCTTATGGTAAATCAGGTGCTCCAAGCAAAACCACCACTCAGGATAGTTGACATGAACTTCCTTCTGGTAAAAGGAGATAAACTAATCATCAATGGAAATAATGCAGTTAGTATTTTTTTAGAGAGGGGCCCAAAATATTTTTCTTAGGACTCTCAAAGGCTAGTACCACCTCTACAGCAACCTCTAGATAACTCTTTTCACCAAAGTACACAGAATGAATGATGATGTTACACAACACACTTCCAGATACTTGTCTCACACAAAGAGACAAGTACAAGTAAGTTGTGTTTATTTTCTTACTTAAATGACGTCACTGCTCTTATACAGTGACCAAGCTATATTTTCTAGTTAAAGAAAGTAGCTCTTACTCTCTTAATGTGACCTTGTGATATATACACTGAGTGGTCACAAGTAAATAGACACCTAATTATTCGTCATTTAACTGATTTATGCTAACTAATTTGTGTTCACATAGCACTATATAAATGCAAATGGTCTGCACACTAATTATCTTGTGCTGCAACATGCCTAGAACTCAAGGTTCTCTCGAATTGTCAGATTTTGTTAGAGGAAGGATAGTTGGTCAAGCAGATGGTGAAATATGACAGCAGCAAATTTCGCAGAATTTGAAAATCTCGCTTTTGACAGTCAACAGAATCATCGTGCAGTTCAGGAAACACGGCAAGGAAACAACTGAGCAGCGTCCTGGTCGTCCTGGTCCATCGGAGAGGACAAAAAGGGCTGCCAAGAGGAGCATCGAAGTGGATCCCAAAGTTGGTGGGATGAGCCCGAAATCTGTTCAACGGATTCTCCACAGATTGGGTTATGTTGCAAAGCAGCTAGACGGAAGCCCTTATTAAGTTGGTTGGTTGGTTG